AATTTCCTCTGAGTCATTTTTGAACTTTATATCAATACACAATCCTTCTTTTACAATACATATAATATTCAACTTCACCAAGTACCCAAACCTAAGAGTGATGAGTTTTGCAAACTTGGAATCAGAAGCCTCGTCTTCATACACAAGAATAATGATTTTAAGTGAGTGAACTTGAAATATTTCTCCCTGGTCAATGTTCTACTTGACTTGAACCTTCCTTGGCTTTTTTCTACGTCTCTGACCATCTTCTTCTTTATCAGAAGCATCATCTTCCAATTTGAAATTGTCCGTGGTGGGGGAAGTTCCTGATTAATAAAATCACATAATAATAAATCCTTAAATATTCTAATTTTTATCAAAATAAGAGAAATGTAATTCTATATTGAAATATTCAAATGCTAAAGCAATTCCAAAGCCATGTGAGGTACATGCATAGAAAGATTGCAAACAATAATATAAAATAACTTAGTGCCTATACTAATTAATATAGTTAATTGTGTGCAATTAAATATTAAAAAGTTACGTTAGTTATATAATTAATCAATATATATAAAAGTTATGTTATATAAAAGTTACGTACGTGTTAGGTTAATTATAATATATATATATATATATATATATATAAAAAGTTACGTTAGATATTATAAAAGTTAAGTTAATTATAATATATATATATATATATATATCATAGTTATCAAATGCGGATTGCAGCCTGTACGTTAGATATTATAAAAGTTAAGTTAATTATATATATATATATATATATATATATATATATATATATATATATATATATATATATATATATATATCATAGTTATCAAATGCGGATTGCGGCCTGATGTGGCCAACCCTCAAAACTGCTATAACATTATTGCGGGTTGCGGTTGCGGAAATAGCGAAAAAAATATATATATTAAAAAACAAATTATATATATATATATATATATATATATATATATATATATATATAGAGAGAGAGGTAGGATCATTTGACATCGGTGTCAAATTTCAATTTTGACACCTCATCTCAGAACCGTTAGATCAAAAAAGATCAATGGTGTCACATGCTTGCAAATCAGAGTCATTAATTTTTTTTTATCTAACGGTTCTGAGATGAGGTGTCAAAATTGAAATTTGACACCGGTGTCAAAGGATCCTACCTCATATATATATATATAGACATATATATATGTAACATAATAAAATATTAAAAAATTATAATGCCTAAAAAAATACAAATAATACTTTACCGTTTTACCTTAGTTACCTTTTAATGATGCATTCTTTTTTTTTTGGGATACATAAATAGTTTACCCTCTAACTTGGTTACCGTGACTTGTGAATCATTTTTATGACAAATGTACTTTTCTTTTCTTTTCTTTGAATGAAGATAGATCAGAATCTCTTTCTTTCTCACTTTCTCTTTTTTTCTCTTTCATCCGTTCTCTCTCACAGTTTCTCATTTTTTCCTTCATTTGTTCTCTCTCTCTCTCTTACTATTTTATCAGTCTTTCTCCTTTATCTGCTCTCTCTCTCACTCAAAGCTTTGCTTCTTCGTTCATGGCTTTCACATTGAACTTCAATACTATAATAGAGAAGTAGAGAAGGGAAGAAACGAGCGCGATAGAGAAAGCATGAGAGGCAAAAGAGAGACACACAACAGAGAGGCAGAAAGGAAGAGTGGATTGGGGTTAAACCATAAAAAGGCGCTCTTGCAGGGAGATTTGGCCGCAACGACCGCTATTGCGATCCGGTGCGGCGGGGTGAGAATGGTTGCGGCGAAGCTCAACTGACGCGGCTGACTACTATGATATATATATATATATATATATATATATATATATATAGGGGTAGGATCCTTTGACACCGGTGTCAAAATTTAATTTTGACACCTCATCTCAGAATCGTTAGATAAAAAAAAAATCAATGACTCTGATTTGCAAGCATGTGACACCATTGATTTTTTTTTATCTAACGGTTATGAGATGAGGTGTCAAAATTAAAATTTGACACCATCAAAGTATCCTGTTTCATATATATATATATATATATATATATATATATATATTATATATATATATATATTATATATATAAAGTTAAACTATATAAAACGTTTGCCACTAAGAGAACTTGTAAAAGCATTGTGTGGGAAATTGTAAAACCTATCTTTATTTGCCACTTATATTGTTTTTATGAAATTTAAATTCTTTGGTAGTCTTTATAGAATTTAATTTTAATCCCTCTAGAATATGACTCTTCCCCTTCAATGCGTTCATTCTAGTTCTACCCTTTTAGTTTGTGGTTTTCCCCCTCACGAGTAACTCTCTCTTAATGTTAAAATGCAAATGGTTTTTAGGTTAAAACATATACAGTATAAAAGAGTTCTTGGAATTTCAAATAATGAAAATAAATATACATGGTCTAGCTTAAAAGATATACTGTGTTTAGTATAATTAAAAATTCTGAAGAAAGAATATTTTACTGGAAAAGGGTTTTTTCCCCCTGAAATTAAGTAAAACCGAACATGTAAATAGACTACTTTGTTTGAGCGTGCAAAAAATGGAGTAGCCAATTTTTATAATGAAAATTATTTTATGGTTATTTAACATAAAGTCGTGAAAAAGTTGAAAGTGAAATTTGACCCATTTATAATTTATGACTCAAATTTTACTCGCTCTTAATTCTAATAAAAAAAAAAGTGTAAAAAGGTGCTGCATGACTCATAAATGAACCTATGCCTCTGGAGTATGTACTGACGCGAATTTTCTGGGACTCATGTGCTACTATCCCACTCAACCATCGAATGTTACTCCATTCTTCCATTTTCCTTCTTAAAGAAGCCAGACAAGACTTGGAAAATAAATAAAACATGAATTTTAAGTAACAGCTAAACTAAGACGGGAAGACTAGAATGTTTTACTTTCATTTTGTAGGTGTCAGTCATACCTTAAATAATAGCAATAACAATCAGAATGACTAATTAAGTTTCTGCCGAAAATCTAAAAAAAAAAATAACGATGTCGTTGTTATATATGGTAACCAATAATGTTTTTTGCATTATGCCAGACAAAAACTAAAAATAAGAACCCATTGCAAGTTGCACATAAAAATCCAAAGGAACAATACCCTTTGAGCCATGAAATATAATCTGCAACACACACTATACCTCTAAAAACCAATTACATCCACATTTTTGGATAAGATCAACCATCACTTGCAACAATTAAACTGACCAAACTCCCACATTCTGATCAAAGAGTCACAACAAGCGAACAATACCATCTATGCATTTTCACAACAAGGGAGGGAGCAAGAATTATGCCTAAATAAGCAACTCGTTAATTTAAAAACTCCAACATGCAAATAAAAGGGACAACACCATTTAAGCCACGGATCATCATCATCAGTAATACAAGCAGCCTACGAAGTGCAATGCAAATAGCATAACCAATTACAAATAAACAAAAAGTCAGCATGAATGAACTAACAAAACCCAATTTGGTTACTATTTGATCCATGCCCAAAGAGAAGATTTACTTGCACATGCTAGTTTACAAAATCTTGTCAAGTATTTATCTCTTACAGTTAACGGTATAGTTACATGGATATATTCTCATACAAGTATTTGCTTTGTATAAGGATATATCCATGTCCGCATTGGTGAACAAGGATATATCGTTATCCACGGACAGGGATATATGCTTATCCATGGATGGCCATTTTCCCCCTTTGGAGTATTCATATATGCGGATAAGGATATCATAATATGTATCAACTTATATCAATGGATTCTATTGAATCCGCAAAGCAAGTAGGGATATTCTTACTTGCGGACTGCAAATTCAAAGGGTAGTGAGCAAACACTAACACATGTAGCCTGCAAAGTGCAGTGCAAATAGCATAACCGTTACAAATCAACAAAAACTGAAAATCAATTTTGAGTTCATGCTTATATTTTGCAACCAAAAAAGATGTCTTTCACTAATTTTGTTTACATATTTCACTGATCTTATAATTATTGGAAGTTGGAAATTGCCAGTTTATCTCCTATTTATGGCAATACCGCAATACATTAGTCCTGCAATGATGTAGGAAAATAGGCCCCGTACTCACCCACTGCCTCTGCTTCCTCTCAATTGAAATTCAGCTCAGGGTAACATAGCTTGTTACATCTTTGCCATTTGCTAAAAGGAAGAAATGGAATCATATAGTAGTATCATAGGCAGAGAGTGAGAGTTCATGTGAACACTTTCTTGTTCACCTTGAGGAACAAGTCAGCTAACTACCAATCCGCCCATCAAAAGGCCAAACATAACCAACAATAATACATTACAACACAATGACAGAAACATGCACATGAAGGCATCAAGAATGAAATGAATACATACAAACATTAAGTAAATAAGAAGACACAAGGTTTCTAACACAATAGGTTACATTTTTCAATGCTATTACTCATGACAAAGTAACGTAGACAAATAAGCAACTTAGTCCCACTCTGCATGCTTGGTGCCAAGATTCTCAGCACAAGCTTGTTTCCTAGTTTTTTTTCTTGGTATTGCCCATCCTAATATTTAAGTTTGTAAATGAGCACAAGCACAAATAGACTTTTTATTTTATTTTAAGTGCAACGAAGCCCATTGCAGTTTTAGTTCGCAAGATACAAGGGAAAAAATGAAAAAAAAATTAGAATCTTCAATATACAAATCTGCCGACCCCAACTAGTTTGGGATATGTGTGATGTTGATGTTAATGAATATACAAATTTGCAGAATTTGAATTAAGTTGGAGATTTAAAACTAGTTAGTTTTTGGCGTTTATAATTTGTAAGGGAAAATATAGTGGCAGTTTCAATTTAGCATCTCATGCCTCCCTGCATATGAAAATATCATGTCACACCCCATCTGTCCATAGAGATAAAATTTAAAAAAGTCATTTCATAAGTACCAAACTTAATCTAGCAATAGAAGCTACAAATTGAAACTATCTGCTTGTACCAGTTACTATGAGTTAAACCAATCTGATAAGAGCAATTGAAACAGCAAATAGCAATTCAGAGACTTAGAATTTAACATAAAGTACATTTCTTGGTCCATATGACAATGAATTCCCAGGCATAACTCTAGTGGTTATGATGTAGTAGAGAGACCCACAGCCGCATAATGAAATCAAACTACTAAAGCAGTCAAAGAATAAAAAAGGTACTTACATCCCACTCTCAAGCAAGAAGTGCTGAGCAAAACAAGATAGAGAACTAAATTAAACCACATATGACCAGTATCAGTAGTTTCTTTCATATTTATTTCCAAAAGGAGATTTAGCTGATCCCACCACCACGCAGCTAAGATAATGAGTAATTGAAGCCACTAAGCAATTCGCAAATCAATTATTCTTTCTTCAAAAACAAGGATTACCACCCTCAGATATCAAACCTTCATCAAACTGTCAATGACAGCAAAATCTCAGGAAGCTTCACTAAAGTTCCAATCATCCTCATCCATGAGTATTAACAGCTTCCCAAACTAAATTTTTGGGAACGGGATTAGAAAGATCCTGAGCCTTCAAGGCCGCGTTCCGGAGTGTCTGAATTGTTAGTACATTGGCTTTCCAGAAGGAGACACAATTGTAAGGAAGATCGTGTTTTTTGCAGAGATCCCTAACCAAAGGCGCGATCTTCCTCAGATTGCACCGCGGCAGCCGGGGAAAAAGATGGTGTTCCACCTGAAATTGCAAGCCACCATGAAACCAATCCATCCAAGCAGAGCATTTTATGCCAAGAGTCCCTTTAGTCTGCTTCTCAAACCAAGCACTGGCAGTTGGTGGACCAACATACACATTGGAAGAGAAATGATTCAAACAGAACTGAACATGTTGTATTCCAGTGACAGAAAAACTAGAAACAACAAACAAAATCCTCTCACCCCAATTAGGCAAGCAAGAAACCAACAAAGGGTACCAAATCCAGAACACAAGCAGCCCCAAAAGCTCAACCCCTCTATTAGGCACCTTCCTCTTTGACAAAAGCAACATGAATGACTGAGCAAACAAATTGATCCTAGCAAAGCACATCACAGGATAAAATGTCCAATGCTGGTAACTAACCAAGAACCTAGCAAAAGAATCAAAATTCATCTTCCTATCATAGAAGCAAGAAGTAATGGAACCGAATAACCTGGAAGAGACCACAAAGAAAGGCAAATGCTGAAGATCAGGGTCAAAATCAAGACTATTACAAGCTATGTGGTGTGCATTATGGTTCCACTTCCACCACCCAATGCTGATCCCAGCAAGACAATTCCCAGAGAGGATCTGAACGAACCGGTTCGAACCCCGGTTCATCATAATCTGATAATGCCCAGAATCATGACCAATCCACCCACTCTGAATCCACAAGAACCCCATCAACCCACCACACCCCAGGTGCACCCACGCGCTCCCACTACACAAAACCCCATAAACACAAACACAAAACAGAACCAAAATGAACAAAAGAGAGAACAAAACGCCATGTCCCTTCTCTTCAAACAACCCCATTCTCGACAACTCCGACAACAACTTCCGATAATCCCTTGAAACCTCAGAGACAGCGTAGTCCTTGAGGTAGCACCCAGTGAAGAACGCGTCCAGGTGTTTCCACGCGGCTTTCGGATGAAACGCCACGTAAGCATCTGTGACGTCTTGGCCTGCGAGGCTCAACAGTGGAAGCTCTCCACCTGGGTGTTTGTTCAACCAGTTCGACACGTCGTAGATCTTGCCGTGAATGGAGATCCATATATCTCCTCGCTTGTTGTGTTCCTTCAGTTCTTCCAACGAAATGTACTTCGCCGTCGTCGTCGTCGTTGTTCCTAACGCTTCCGCCATTGTAGATGGTTTGGATATGCAGTTGAGTCAAAGACTGAGAGAAAAGTGTGTGTTTTCCTTTTTTTCTCCTTTGCTTTTTGTAGCCACTGAGTGACTGAGATTTTTCGGATTAGCATATTCCCTTTTTCATGCTTTTTTTTTAATATTTAAAATTAAATAGCTACAAGAAAACGTGATAGGATATTATTTCTATATTTTTTAAAACTCTCAATGAGGGAAAAAAATAATGTCAGTCAGTCGAGGAAAGTAGGTAGAATATTTTATCCTTAAGAATATATAGTAAATTTAATATATATTGTATAAAATAATAGTGAATTTAATTTTTTTTCCAGTAACATTTTAAAAAGAAAAATAATGTAAAAAATGTTTGATTTTACGTTACATTTGTAAGAGACTTAATGTGCGAGTAAAAAAATAAATTATAATAAAATACAACCTATTAAGCATATGAAATAGGTTTTTGTTTTTGTTAAGATATTTTAATTGATTCATCGCTTCGCGACGAAGTGAATTTCAGGATTAAGACTTTAATCCCTCTTAAAGATTGTCCGACAAGGATCGAGCACATGCTCATCTCCTTCCCTTGCGTCAACTGAGCTACTATCATTTAGTTTATTCTATCTATATTTGTCTATCATTCTCTGACACCATTAGATCAGAATCTCAATTATTTTTATCATTTTTCTCTCCTATTAAAATTATAATCTAATAATCTAGGAAAATAAAATAATAAAAAAAGATAAGCAGAAAAAAAAAAGATAGAATAGAATAATCTATGGAAAAGTATGTGTATTTTTAAAGAACACAAACTTAGATCATTTCATGAGAGAGATAAACATTAAAAAAATATAGATCTCATTGAAAAAAATAAAAATATAAGTTTCACTTCTTTATATCCACCTCTCTTAAAATAATCTATCATTTTTCCCATAACCTATACCATAATTCACTTTAGATTTGATAATGGTAAAAAAACGAAACATATTTACAAAAAAAAAAAAAAAAAAAAAACGAAACATGTGAGTATCCAAGCACTGGCAATGACTGTATGTTCGTTTATCGGAACAATAATTGCACATGTGGCGCAGGATGCTGCGATAACGACATGTTTGGCACTTTAGGCTCTTTGGGTTTGAGAAAAAGATTCTTTTCCTTTTTTTTTTTTTTTTTTTGATAACATTCTTTTCCTTTTTTAAATCAGCGGGACTATTGCTTGAAAAGTTATTAGTGTTTATGTAGTATTATAAGTTTAGTCTTAATTGTTTCCTTTTTCAAGAGATTTTAATTATTTCTAGGATTTGGTTTTGATTCCTGAATCCTTTTAAAGTTGTCTTCCTCTTGATATTTTTACATGTTATGCTAGAATAGAGTCTTTGATGCGTAATTGAATGTAGAAATTCTGTTAATGGTTTCTCTACTTATAAAATCTTTCCAACATATAGCATAAATCATAGTGGTTTTGCTAGCAGGAAGAAATTTCAAGTTTCTTCTTAAATAATCTCAAATGACATGATACATATAGAAGAATTAATTTTTTTTCTATGCCAGTGTAATGTTTGAACTTGAATAATGAGGACTGGAAACACAACTACTTAATCACAATATAAACTCTTAATTTTATAATTTGAATTTTTCCACAATCGTAGAAGGAAGTTCGAAAAGTTGTTTGGTTTTCTAAATTTTATTTTTGGACCATTCTCCAACCATTTCAGCCATCGATGATATCTCATTTTTAATCAAAACTAGTGATATTCGGTATTCCTAAAAATAAAAGTAAAATCACGTGGATGAGCATGATGGTTCAGCATCTCGTCCCTTAAGCAAGTGGTCGGGGGTTCGAACTCCAACTCTTGTGAATGGAAAGCATTTTGTGGCCAGCTCTTTGCCGCTTATCAGCTGTGGGGATACCCGGATATATTAAAAAAAAAAATCCAAAAGGAAACATAAAAGATAGTCCACAAAAAGTAACAACGTGGCGTTTTAAAGTAACATAGGCAAAATCCAAGATTACGACAGAAAATAGAGAAGCGTTTGGTACGTGGTATTCTTTAAGATCTTTGGAAAACTAAATTTTTTAATTTTTTAATTTTCAAATATTATCGTAAATTGAATGTAAAAATTATATTTCTGAAAATCAAAATTTTCAGATAAAAAAAAATTATTCTCTATCAAACGCTCCCTAAAAGTAAAATAGTACATAAAATACAACTGTCAAGGAGGAGATTATTAGCTGTGAATAACAGGTTGTTGTTGACTGAAAATTATAAAATTTCTCTATCATAAGAGGAAGTAAAAGTGATGGGAGATTGAATGGTTGTTAGCATTAAGCAACGTAAGCAAACATTGGAATATTAGATGCTCTGAATAAAAAATTAAAAAAAAAGACAGGTCATATGATGCCAGTAGATTTTTTTATGTTAAAATTTAAGATTTTATAAGAGTTATGTTGTAGGAAAAGTGATTATTCAATGTTATAGAGATTCGTTTTGCGTGCTTTAGGGTTTTTTTTGCTTCAAAAAGTGCGAGTCTCACACAATATTATGTGTAGAAAACTTTTTTGTGTCGAATTTTTATGTTTATTTCTTTCTTTATTAATGATAATTGAATCTTACCTATTTAATGTATATGATGAAAAAAATAGACATAAATTTTTTTCATAAACAAATCATATAAAATTTTAACATGAAAGTCTCTATTCTCGTAAATATAATGCAGGGAAAGGAAAGATAAATGTTTTTTTATGACAGAAATAATAACGCACAAAGTTCAATGAGCCCACCAATTGGTTGAGTCCGTCGCCAGATGCAGCCGAACAAAAATGAACCATACATAGTATGTGACTAGATCTTTTGGATGCCATGTGGAGATGCTTCAGCCCACACATTTCCAAGCAAAATATCTTCGGTGACGTTTCATAGGATTCTTTTAAGTTAATGATATCATCTTTACCAAAAAGAATGATTGGATGACAACGTTTTCTGAAGTTACTGTTAATAAAAATAGAGAAGCCTTGCTCACAAATATAAAATAATATAGGAAAAAATATGTCATTTAAAATGATACACCTTATATTCTTTCACTCTCGTAAATAAGTAACACTCACATTTTTAAAAAAAATTTCAACCATTATCTCTCTTATAATTTATATCTTTCTCTCACTTAAAATAACATAATTTCACATCTTTCAAAATGATACACATTTTTTTCAAAAATATAATATAAATACTAGCCATGAACTATGTCTTAAACTACACAAATATTTTTCTAATCAGTCTCATTTCAAAATCAACTTCCACCCTGATCACTTTCCTTGAACTTCTGCTTATCTTTCCATTTCCCATAACGTCTTAAACCTCATTTGCAATAAAAATATGGCTCAAAGTTACACTTTGAAGTTTGAATTTTAAAACAGTCTGGAACTATGTCTAAGCTGAATATTGCTGGAAAAAAACACACACAATAAAATTAAAAACAACAAGAAATGTCAAAGAGTTGGTCCCACGTTAATTAACCGTTCAACCTAAAAGCAACAATAATTGGAGAAACATATAGTAAACAGCATATGGCGATCATTTGCGTAGAAATGGGATAATGAACAAAAAAATACAAGACAACCCATGAGATGAATTGATTTTTAGGTCATAATGCCAAAGGAATTATTTCACAAATTTCAATGTGCTCGTTTAGATGGGCCAATCTTAGGCTTTTCGACCACTGTGCTCCAAATTAATTTAAAAATTACCACTTTGTTATCCGCTTCAAAACTTTACACCAATTTGTCCATGTTTAATTGTTGATCGGACAAAATAATCAATTACATTGTCCATGAAATCAATTAAATCACGAGATGTTAAGGAATTCAATTACAATTAGAGGTGGCAAAGCGGGCTGCCCGCCCCGCCCCAGCCCGCCAAAAAGCGAGTTGGCCCGTCCCGCTCCGTCTTCGAAGATGGGCTAGATATCTCAACCCACCAAGCCCATGACATTTTACACTAAAAATTTAAATAAAAAAAAATCAACCCAGACAGGCTTGGCAAGGCCGGCTTGGCGGACAGCGAGTTTGAGGAACTCAGTCCGCCCAGCCCCGTTTGGCAAGCTCGGCCCATTTATCCAGCTCTAATTACAATAGTTGTGTAATCGATTATCGTTCACTATGTTTGATCGCCGACCCTTAAGATAATCGATTACAACAGTTATACAATCGATTAACTTTCGTAAAAGCCCCCATTTTGATCAAAGAGAAGGTAACAAAGTGTAATTGACCCGACATTGATAATAAGTTTCGTGATCAAACTTGTTAGATTGCTATCATGTAATCTAAAACTCGATGGGAGTAGCAACGAGATTAATATGGTACAAAATTTGATATATTTTACCATAAAAATTTTTATGACCATAATTTTTGACTTGGGTGTTTAAATTAGGTATTTTTTTTTATTTCACTTAACTATTCGAGAGCTACCCGTGGCAAATCCCATATTGGATTTGGTCAAACAAATTTTTCAAAAAATGCTTCTTTACGCCCTCTTTCACATATTTTATCTTTATAAATGATGTTATTTGAATTTGTACTTTCCAATTTTAACAAATAACCCTCTAGGAATTTTTCAGTGCATAGATTTCAAAAAACTATGTGAATTAATTTTTTTTACATAATTCGATCCTCAAGCCAAAAAAAATTACTGTAAATTTTGGATATTATAATCAATTACATGATCCAGTAAACGGTTAAACATGAACAAATTGATATTAAATTTTAGGAAAAGGTCAAATTTTTAAATAGTATCAAAACATAGATATACTGATAAATTTAAAAAAAAAAGGGATTAAAGGTCAAAAAAGCTGCCAACCTTATCTGTAATCGAATATCCATTAGCCTTTATACTTGGGAACCACTATCTCGCTTATAGAACCTAAGACTGTGTATGAATATTTTGAGTTACGGGGAAATAAATGAAGAAAGTACAAATAAAGTGGATTGATTTTCTTTTGTTTGGAAGGGCAATATGAAGAGAATGGGCAGAGTATAAATTCAAGACTTAAATATATTCTTTTTTTTTAGCACATAAAACTTCAATATATTATAAATAGGGTTCGTCGCTTCTCATGTGACTGCTGATGAGAAAAGTTGTAACAAATTTTTAACATTAGGATACACGTGCGGATTCTATAAAAAAAAACACCAGGATTCGAACGCGTATCCTGGTAAAAGTAAGTGTTGCTGCACTTTTTCCCTTCTGCAGTCACATAAGAAGTACTTTCCCCTTATAAATAACTATATAACTATATTTCAAAAGATGTAACGTGGGGTCAAAGATGTCTATAACTGATAAACCTTTAGTTTATCTTGTTTAATGGACTAAAATAATATGAATTATCTAGTTGAACAAGTCAAAAATTAGGGTTTTAAAATGATAATCATGAACATTATCTGATTGTTGGAACTAATTATATTTGTTATTTTTAAAGGGATTTGATAACAAATGATTCAAATATGAAGATTTAGATAAAGAGAGATCAAATCAGAAAAGAAGATGAGTCAAGGTGAAAACAATAAGATTGAAGATCTTATCAAGTTGTTAGAAGTGGGAGCTTAAGCCCCCATTCACAAGCTTAAGCGCCCAGACAAGTCCAACTTAGGCCCATTCAAGTTTTCTACTGCAATACGAACTCTTGACCTATTTAAACACCATTGGGGACCAGAAATACATAACTTTTACATTGCTAAACAACTCTTGGGTGCTTGGAGGCTGAAGAAACGCGGAGAAACATCAGATTCATGTTCGTGAGCAGCGGAGACGGATCAACGTCAAGTGTTCACTGGAGATATTGAAGATTCACCAATCACCTATGGAGTTTGAGGGAGCTTTATAGTTTCTTTTGTTCTTGACTTTGCTATGTCTGGCTAGTTCCTTAAGTAGTTAGGGTTAGATGGATTTTAGTCGATTTATTATGTTTTGAACAATTCGTTGTGTTAATTTTCCTTTATATCATGAATGAAGTTATCTGTTTTTAATGCTTTATATAGGCTTGAATCTTATATAATGATCATCGGTGAATGCATGACAATAGGAATGTTGGTGTGTGATCCATATCTGATAACTTCATCGTAAACGTTATGATTCTAGGGATAGACATAGGGTTTGCGTAATCTTTAAGATTCTTGAATTTAATGCTTGCATGCTTGGGGAATAACCGGGGAACTAGGGTTCTTCCAATATTGTAAAGGTTTTAGAGTAACAAGGGATTGAGCTCTAATAACATGCGAAAGAATTGATTAGATTGATACTAACGACAATTAACATTAAGAAGGAATTCAAACGTAATAAGGAGATTAAATGAAATCGAACCCCTAGCTACGTTTTTATTTTATTAGTTAAATCACATCTTTAATTTCTTGTCTTTAATTCTTGCAAGTAATTAGCTTTAATATTTAATATTTTAATTTTGCAATTCAAATCCTGTTTCCAAATACACTTTCGATTGTCCAACTAAGTTTGCGATAATGAATTAGTGCTTGAACCGTAATCCTCGTGGGAACGATCTCTTACTTAATCATATATTACTTGTACGATCGGTGCACTTGCCGTGAGTAGCAACAAGTTTTTGGCGCCGTTGCCGGGGATTACTATTTCAACATTAATAGTAGCTATTAATTCTTTAGATTGGACCTTATTTTCTGTTATTTAATTTTCCGTTATTTAAATTCAGTTTTATTTTCTTATTTTATATAATCTATTTTTCTGGTTTATGCGAGGTACCGTTGACACCGAGTCCTTGCAATTCGACCCGGAGATAGAGAAAACAACAAAAAGAAACAGAAAACTTGCTAAAGAAAGAAGACATCAAGAGAAAGAAGCTTCAAGCTCAACAGAACCAAGAGAAGAAGCAATGGGAGACAACAATGCACCTCCACCACCTCCGAGAACGTTGGGAGATTACATGACTCCTGCTCGAGTTCCACAGACGGCGAGTATTGTTAGACCAATCGTGGATGCTAACAACTTTGAACTCAAGCCGGCACTTTTACAATTAATTCAGAAAGACCAATTTGCCGGAGGAAGCACGGAAGACCCTTACATCCATCTGGAAAACTTCTTGCTATATTGTGATACCTTGAATATGAATGGGGTGTCTCGGGATGCTATTTTGCTCAGGTTGTTCCCATGTTCACTTAAAGACGAAGCAAGAGGATGGTTGCAATCGTTACCTCGAGGAAGCATCACTCACTGGGACGACTTGGCAACCAAATTTTTGGACAAATTTTTCTCTTCTTCGAAAATGGCAAAGCTCAAGGCGGATATCACTTCTTTTGAACAAAAAGAAAGTGAATCTCTATATGAAGCATGGGAAAGATTCAAAGGACTGCTCAGGAAGTGTCCCCAACATGGCATTGAAGCCTGGGAACAAGCGAGAACTTTCTTCCAAGGGATGAAGCCCAACACAAGAACATTGGTGAATGCTGCATCAGGAGGGTCCTTGAAAACAAAAACTCCAGAGGAAGCCTTGGAATTATTAGAGTCTTTAGCCTCTCAGGAGTATGATAATGCTCCCGTACCATAGAGAAGAACGGGGATTATGAAGCTTGATGGCTATGATGCCATCCTGGCCCAGAATGATCAGATTCTACAGTTTAATAAGAAACAACAACAACAACTAGATGCTCTCACAAAGCAATTTTTTGATTTTCAAGTTTCTTCTGTTAATACTCCAGTAGCTTCTGTTAATACTTCTTCTATTGTTTGTGATATTTGTGCAGGTGCTCATGCTACCGATGACTGCAAGGCACCCGAAACTGTATATGTTAATGAAATTTGGCATGATCAGAAAGTTCCATATAATCTAGGGAGGAACCAATACGGCAATAATCAGAATCAAGGGTGGAGAAATAAAAATCAAAATCAACACCCAGGATTTAGTTACAGTTCGAACCATCAGCTGAATCCTCCTATGCCAGTGCAACAACAACCTCCACAACAATCAGAATGGGAAAAGGCCTTTGCACAACTATCCAAGACCACATCAGACTACATTCAAAGTTCCAATAATTTCAGAGAGGACACTTCAGCCTTTATGCAAGAGACAAAGGCCTCATTCCGGAATCAAGAAGCTTCTATCCGGAATCTTGAAACTCAGATTGGCCAGCTATCAAAGCAGTTCACTGAAAGAGTTCAAGGAACTTTTCCAGGTAACACTATTCCAAATCCAAGTAGGGAACACTGCAATGCGATTACTACTATGAGTGAGAAAGCCATTGAACCTGTGGTAAAGCCTTTAGTTGAGAAAAAGAAAGATGATGAACTTGCAACTGTAAAGGAAAAAGAAAAGGAAGTTGCCAAAGAATCTGCTGCAGAGAAAACTGTTCCTGAAAAGAAAGAGTTCAAATGGGAGAAAAAGAAAGCTCAAGAAAGGCAAGAAAAGTCATTGGAGCTCTCACCTTATGCAAAGATTCCATATCCGCAGAGGTTCAGAGAGGAAATCAAAAAGCAGCAGTATTCCAAGTTCCTTGACATTTTCAAGAAGCTGCAAATCAATATCCCGTTTACTGAAGCCTTGGAGAACATGCCCAATTACGCAAAGTTCATGAAAGATCTTCTATCATGAAAGCGTAAGCTACAAGAATGTGAGACAGTGACGCTGACAGAGGAATGTAGTGCCATTATCCAGAAAAAGTTGCCTCCAAAGCTTAAAGATCCAGGAAGATTCAGCATTCCATGCAACATAGGCAATATGGAAGTGAAAAATGTTCTATGTGATCTCGGTGCCAGCATCAACGTGATGCCACTATTTATGATGAAGAAACTGGGGATCACTGAAGTAAGGCCAACCAAGACAATAGTTCAACTGGCTGACCGCTCTACAAAGCAAGCTTATGGCATTATTGAGGACATACTGGTAAAAATTGACAAATTCATCATTCCTGTTGATTTTGTCATCCTTGATATAGAGAAAAATTCTACTATTCCTATGATCTTCGAAAGACCTTTCTTGGCAACCTCAGGAGCGCTGATTGATGTATCGAAAGGCGAGTTGATCTTACGGGTAGACGGGGAGCAAGCAATTTTCAAGTTCTTTGATAAAGAAGTTCCCTCACCTATAATTCAACCGGAAGATCAAGTCTACTATATTAGTGAAAAGAAAGGAGAAGAAGAGCACAAAGAGAATTCTTCTCAAGAAAGTAAGCCAAAGGTTAAAATGGAGAAGCTCAGGAGCAAGGGAAAACACGTAAACACAAAATTCAAAGCTATTGAGCCTACTTCATCTCACTCATATGCACAAGAGTACTATGGGAGGACACCATTTCTGAATGATAGAGCTTGGTCATCACCAAGCCCATGCTTTGAACCACCATGAACGTAAAAGAGGTACGTCAGGCTCGTGACGTAAAACAAGCGCTTGTGGGAGGCAACCCAACTATATTTTTATTTTCCAACATTTTAGTATTTAGTAATTTAATTTTAGTTTAGCTTATTTTAATTATTCTTAGCATAGTTTATTTTAGTCATATCATAAAAATCAAAAAAAATAAAAACATTGAGGTTAATGATCAAATTCTGTTGAGATGGACTTTCAGGTGTAAGTGGGATTAAAGCATACACAGGTACGCAACTCTTATTCATTTATATGTTTTGTGTATGATATTGAGCAGAATTATTGAGGTGGAAGAATACACAGTAGAGATGAATGCAAGGAATAGGAAAATATGGAGAAAATTTTCTAAGTATTGAGAGCTTAAGCCCTTAAAGGAGGCTTAAGCCCCCAAAAAAAGTGAAATTTCTCTCGGCCCTAGCGCGCTTAAGCTCTCTGAATCGCGCTTAAGCGCGCTAAATAAAATTTTATCCCATTTCTCACTGCCTCAGCGCGCTTAAGCGCGAATCACTGCGCTTAAGCGCGCTCATCTTTGACATTATGCATACTGTTAAAGTATTTCAGTTCCATATACTCATTATTATTTTCAGATGCATCTGAATATAAATCTGGGAATTGTTATGTGGAAATTGCACTAACTTTGCAAACATGTTGGATACTCGAATACTAATGCTGATATGGTTGCAGACACTACACAGGATGCTGATAGAAATGATATTGCACCCACTACTGAAATTGATGAGGATTGACCATTGTCTCAATGTTTAGATTTTTTTTCTTTTGTTGATTTTAGTTCATGTTGATATGAGATGTATATTGAGACTGATCTTGACGTGACTATGATTTTTTTTTTGATATGACATGCTGACGTAGTTTCTTTATCTGTGACATGTGTGCAGAGTACAATATCAAATTTTTCTGATTTCTTGCTTAGGATTCTTTTAGATTTAAGTTTATTGCTGAGGACAGCAAGATTTAAATCTGGGGATGGGTACCATGCAATTCATCAGACCATAAACTTCACATGGTCGGAAGAAGAAACTCTTGATTACACGGAGTACACAGAAATATCCAAATTACAAATGCAGTTTTTCAGGGGAGTTTCTCAATATTATTTTCATATTATATGATTTTAAATATATTATTTTGATTTAGTATTAGTTTATTTTAAGGTCTTCATATATATTAGTTAGTTTAATATTTAAGTTTTTTTTTAAATTATTTTTAAGACCCCTTCCATCTTAGTCAATAAATAATTAGTGGATCTTAAGAGATTTTCCATTGTGCTTGATATGGATGCATAATGAATAATTACATGAAATTGGTTGATAGTTGATATCAAGAGTATAATGATGTAAATAAATTTTATTTTCGTACATAAATGAGCGTCAGTCAAGCATGCTTCATAGTTCACTGGAATAAGAGAAGAATAACTAGAGTAATCAAAGAGAGAGTGAAAAAATAAGTCTCACATCCTTAGCCGTAAGCTTTTGAGCCTAAACAGAATTTTTTTTTTTTGTGGTGTGAACTTTACTGTTGAATCACTCTAGAACTTGTTTTGTTTCTCTTTGAAATGGTCTGTAGTATACAATTGTTGAAATGATAGAGGCAGTTCTTTTTAAAAGCTAGATAGCCAAATAGCCACCCTGAAGGTTTATTCTTAGATTAAGCCCTTTTGAGCCGAGGCCTGTTTGTTCATTGACAGTACATTATGAATAGCCATTCCATACACATCCTCACCTGAACTGATTAATTTTCAAAATTAAATGAGGAACTGGATAGGATTGAAACAAAAAGAGAAAATCAAACTCTAAGTGTATGGGAGAAAAAGGTGAAAAGAGGGAAATTGCCACAAAGTGGTGGAAAAAGGAAATGAAAAGAAAAAGGTTGAACTGTTTATCTGTACAAAAACAGAAAAAGAAAA